GCGGGGTGGCTCAGGCAGCAGAGGAACCTCTGGGCCAGCGTCCGGGGGTTGCAGGCAAGCGCAGCCTGGGGTTCCTTGTTCCAAACATCCCGGGGCTGGCAGCGGGCCCGAGGGGCAACTCTCCAGCCCCACGGAGGCACAGACGGCCAGGTCACAGGCACTGCCCACAGCCGGCCTCTGTAGGCGCCCCAGGGGTTGAGCGGGCCCCGCTGAGCTGCGGCGTCTCTTCCAAAGCCCGGAACCACGGCTCTCTGCCGGAAGGTCCCATTCTGAGCAGCTCCGAGACTGGGCCTGGGGGAAAGCAGAGGCAGGGGTCCGGCTACAGCACTTTCCCCTGCCCTTCAAGCACCCCTGAACACCTTTGATTGCCCTCCCTGGCACAGGAGAAGCTGAGCAGAGCTGCCCTGATGCCCATGAGAACTAGACCAAAGGGCAGAGCTCTGGGAAGGCCCTCCCATTCTACATATGAGGCAAGTGGGGCCCAGAGAGGATATTGACTTGACTAAAGTCACTGAGTGAGGGCCCAACTCTCAGGCCAACTGTCGCCTTCCCAGGAACCTACAGGTCTCTGGCCCTTTGGCACCAGCTGCTCTGGGGATTAGGGGCTGCGTGGGCATGAGTGCTACATACGAGTATCTGTGGCCTCCACTTGCTTGCAGCCACTTCCCCAGTACCCTCACAGCCTGAGATTTCCAAACACACCCGGCTGCAAAGATGCACCTGGGCCGTGGGGGAGCCGGGAAACGGGGTCCCCCTGAAACTGCGGCAAACCTAACCTCCATCTGCTATCTTCCTATGGGGCCCAGCCCAGACATGGGAATGAGGGGAGAGATCCCAGGGATCCCAGATCCATATGGACACTGCTCCCCAAACCACTAATTTTCAGGGACGGGTTTGTCTCCTTGGCAACAGAGGAGCCAAGTCTGGGGTCAAAATTCCTCCTAGCAGCGGCCCTTGGCCCCAAATACCTCAATTTACTCATCTGTGAAATAGATGCAGTCTTGCATTCCCCAGGGGCTAAATACCTCAAGAGCTAGGAGGGCACAGTGATTAATGTAGGGGCCTGGAGCGAGGCAACCCAAGCTCACATCCCTGCTCTGCTACTTCCTAGCCACCCTCTCAGTGTCCCTGTGTGTAAAATGGGTGTGATAATAACAGTACCTGCTTCCTAGGAGTGCTGTGAAGATTGCAGGAGATAAGGCAGACAGGGGAGCCAGCACATAATGAGCACTCAATTAAATGCTAGCAATTACTAATGATATTCAGGACCACAGACACATGGCTGCTTGAGCCACCTCCAGAGGTGGCTCTCTGCTCCTCTAAAGGGAGGACACCTTGTCACTGTTCAAGCCATGGCTCAGGTCCCCACTGACGATAGAGGTTAAACCACTGGCCCAGCTTTACCCCTGGGGAGCTGTGCCACAAAGGCGGGGAAAGGGGCCAAAGATGAGACAAGATCAAGCTAGAGGAGGGGGTGTGGATAAGGGGATCCACTGGTCCCCTAGGCCTCCCCTGAGGGCCTGAGCATTAGGAAGCTCAAGCTTCCAGAACATCTAGGGCCCCATGCTGGATATTTTACATGTTTTCTTTCTTTCTTTCTTTCTTTCTTTCTTTCTTTCTTTCTTTCTTTCTTTCTTTCTTTCTCTTTCTTTCTTTCTTTCTTTCTTTCTTTCTTTCTTTCTTTCCTTTTTTAATATTTTTATTTATTTCTAGGAGTGAGAGAGATAGTGTGTGTTTTGGTTTGTCAGAGAGAGAGGGAGACACAGACTCCGAAATAGGCTCCAGGCTCTGAGCTGGCAGTCAGCACAGAGCCCGACGCAGGGCTCGAACCCACGAACTGCGAGATCATGACCTAAGCCAAAGTCGGACGCGTAACCGACTAAGCCACCCAGGCGCCCCTGGATTCTTTCTTACCTTGAGGCTGACATTGCTGGTGCTGCCCAGGCCCTGGGCCAGGTCAGGGCAGCTCTGGCCACCCCAGGGCCTAGGAAGGAAGCAAAGGGAAGGGAGTGAAGTAGGTTCCTCCTCTCCCACCTCCGGACTGGACCTTAGGGTCCTCCCCCACTTCTCTCAGGGCACATGGGTGGGTGAGGCTCCTGAAACCTTGGGAGGGGGGCAAGCAAGGTCTATGCAGCAGCCTCCTCTCTGCTCCCTCCCCCAGCTGTCTACTCCCAAAGAGAGAGAAAGAGACAAGGATAAGCTTGGGACAAAAGTGGGGACTAGGTCTGTAGCAGGGTCAGAATATAGAAGAAGGACAGCACCTCCATAATCCAAAAGTTTGCCATTTACGGAGGCCCACCCCGTGCCAGGCTTAGTCTTAGATATGGTGCTCATGTGATGTTCTTCGAGCCTCACAATAATCCTAGAAGGTGGCTATTATGCCCATATTTTTCCAGTAAGGAAACAGGCCCAGAGAGGTGAAGTGACTTGCCTGGAGTCACACAGCTAGTGAGTCTTGGAGTTAAGACACTAGGACCGTCCCACTCCAAAGGCTGGTTGGACATCACAGCTCTGATGGGGGCAAGATGGGGAAGTGCCTTGATGGCCTCCTCTGTGCACCTCGTGCCCGGCTCCAGGCAATCAGCAGGGATCAGAGGCCTGTGCCTTAGTGCTGGAGTCCCATTCCCACATCTGGTGAGAGCCAAGTCCAAGTGCATGCATGGGATGTATCATCATGCTGGCCCATGAGCATGTGCGGCCCCTCCCCTGCCCTCCCAACCCCTGACTCACCTGCATGCCAACCCTGCCTCCTCTCAAGTGGGGAAAGGGAGGGGCAGTGCCACCTGGGCCTATAGGGCAGGTTCCTGCCATACAGGGTAATGGGAGAGGGCGTGTCTTCCAAGTGGGGGCAGGCAGGGCAGGGTAACCCCGCCCCGCGGGCACCCAGTCTTCCAGGCTTTCAGGGTGGCTAGCCCTTCCCCTGCCCTCTCTCTTTGGTGTGAAAGAGCAGTACAACCCTCCTCTCACTCAGCCCCCATGACGCCTGCACCCCTCCCAGAGCTGCCAAAGACAGCTGTGTCATGATAAGATCAGAACAAATTGCTGGATGACTACATAGATACACAATACCCCGTGCCTGAGAGCTCATTCCACCCTCTTTCCAGACGCCACTGTGAGCTGCTGGGGTCCTCTTCACTGTCCCCCTCCCAGCCATTCAGCTCTGCCATTCAGAGCTTTTTTCCTGGAGTTTAGACATTAGCTACCAGTGAATGGGCTCAGAGAGGAAGCTATTTGTTCAAGGTGACAAGGCCCGTGGCACCTACGGTTAGGATGGAGCTCTGGCCCCCTGGCTTTGCAGTCCTGAAATCTCTCCAGCACATCCAGTGCTTCAGGATGTGGGCTCTGGAGTCAGGCTGCTTGAGCTTGTAACCCAGCTCCGCCACTTCCCAGCTGTGTGACTGGGCAGGTGACTTCACCTCTCTGAACCTCCATTTCCATATCTGAATCACATGAAATACCTGCTCCTAAGAGCTGCTGTGAGGATTAAATTAGATGTTCCAGGCAGGGCATGAAAGGCAAATAAAGCTTTATTGTTATTACAGTCTGCGATGACGGAAATCCTCTCCGTGGCATTTAAGGGCAAATGCAGTGCAGTCAAGGCAACTCCGGGTACCCGTCCTGCTCATGCCAAAGGGAGTGAAGACCAGAGGTAAACTGGCCGGTGAGGTGAGAATCAAAGTCCACAGGGACGGGAGGAGCTACTGCATTTGCCTTTAAATTGTCTCCGAGGAGGAAATCACTGTCTGCAGGCCGCCAGTCGGAATTGCAAAAGTTCTTTTAAAGGTTTTAAAAGAGCACAGGTACTTTATAAAGATCGTTTTCACATTCACATGCCCAAAATCCTAGTACACTGACACGTATATTTTTATGCCCCGAGACACTCACACATGCTTATTTGAATATCCACTGCCGCCGCCCCTGCCCCCACACACACCTAGGGCCCAGGGGCGCCCCTGTGCGGCCCGCCTCCATCCCCCTCACCTATCCCGAGCTTTGGCCTCCTCCGGGGTCCTCTTCCCCCTGCGCTCCCTCCGGAGAACTAGCCCTGCCAAGCGGCGGGCCAGGCGGGCCCCCAGGCCCCCGTGCCGCTCGGCCATGGCAAGGGCAAAGCCCCGAGCCTCGGTGCACTAGACCGCTCCCGGGCCACGGGGGCCACCCGGATCCGCTCAGTTGCAGAGAAACGCCTTCTCCGGCCCGCCCCCCTGGGCAAACAGCGGCCCCGCCCGCAGTCAGTGCGGGCTGGGGACTGACCCAGATGCTACCCTTGCCCCAGGACAGGGGGTGCGCTCTGCAGGGGCCGCTCCGCCTGAACCCCCTCCCACCGCCGCCCAGGCCATGCTCTCAGTTAGGTCCGCGCTACTTCTTCAGGCATCGAGAGGTGCCAGGGGTACGCCGGGTGCTGGCAGCCCCCAAACTGACCTTGCACGAGGTGGGCGGGGAAAGAGGAACCTAGGGCTTGCAGGGGTCGGAAGGCAGGGCTGAACGAGGGGTCTCTCCCCTCCCCCGAGAAGGAGGGGCTAGAACGCAGGGGCGGGATCAAGACCTGAGTGGACTCAGTCTAGTCGAGTGGGTGGGGCCTCGCCCGGGTGCTCGGCCTCTGGCGCAGAGCGAAAGAGGTGGCGGGGGGGGGGCTTAAAACCCAGACCTTGACTACTGCGCGGAAGGCCAAAGCAGACCCCGCCATTGCCCTGACGTGAGGGGCTCCCCATAAGAGTTTCTCTTACGCTCCTGGAGAGCCTATAGCACAGCACGAATCTTGCCCAGGGCCCGGGTGGGGAAGCCGCTCTCAAACCCACAGTGGTGCGAACGGAGACCCCGCTGGAAGCTGGCCGGCTATTACTGTTTAATAATAGCTATTGGTATTTTTTTTTAATGTTTATTTATTTTGAGAAAGAGAGCGCACGCGCCACGCATGAGCAGAGGAGGGACAGAGAGGAAGAGGGGGAGAGAATCCCAAGCAGGCTCCGCTCCGAGTCGGGGCTCCGTGCTGACCTGAGCCAAAATCAAGAGTCGGTGGATTCTTAGCCCCTGAGTCACCCAAGCACCCCAATAATAGCTACTGATTATGGTGATTAATAACCTGGGTCTTCTGCTTCTCAGGCAGAGCCTTTTCCCCACCTGTTGCTAACTCCCGTGTGGGGTGCAGAAGACCTTGCCCATCTGAGGGCATCCTCTGGGACTGCAGAAAGGTCACCAGGAGGCTCCTAGCTCCTCAGGTTCTCTTTGCCAGCTCTTCCCTCCTTCTACTCCTTGTAGGGTCTCTACCTCTTCCCCGAGCTGGCACCTCCTTTGCCCTTTGCCCTTTGTGGTGGCTGGTCCTGGCACACAGGGGAATGTCATGTTTCTGGGTCATGAATAGACATTGACATCCTTGTTCCTGCCCCTCCACCCCACAGGGGGCTCAGCTCCTGGCATGTGCAGAGGGAGGAGCTCAGCCCCACCTGACCACGGCAGGGAGCACCTGCTAAGTGGCTTCTTAGGAACCGTGAGACAAGAAGTTGGTGGGAGGCAACAGACATACATCTGGGCAGGTGCTGGAACATCTGTTCAGGAAGGAGAGCAATGCACCCAGTGCTCGGCAGCGTAGTTTACACAGAGAAGAGTCCTGGGAGGCCAGACTACCCGCTGGCAAGCTGAGATTGGAGGGCCTGGTCCCAGATGGGGAGCAGGAGACAGCCTCATGCAGCACCCCGGGAGAGGGCATCACAGACTCTCCCTGGCTGTGTTCCCTGACTGGAGGGTTGCCAAATCTGACCAATAAACAGGGGCTTTCTGCTCCACTGCTGAAGCTCAGGAGGCCTCAACTTGCCATAGAGAAAAATCCTTTCATTGCTCTGCCCTGCCCCCTCCTCAGGCCAGTCCCTGCACCAGGGCTCAGCCTGGCTGCCCTTACTTGCCCCTGGATGCCACCAAACACCTCTTGACCTTTTCCGAATCCCAGCCCATCTGTCTCTCTGATGGCATCCCCACAAGATCTAGTGCTTCCTGGTGCCATCGGGCAAGGCAGGCAACAGACGCCAGGGGCAGGTGGGTGTGAGCTTGGCCGCAGGGCCGTTGGGCGTGCAGCCGCTGGTGCAGCTTCAGGTGGACATGCTGGGTGAAGCGACTTGGGCACGCACTGCAGCGGAAGGGCCGGGCCCCTGAGTGCATCCGCAGGTGAGTCTTGAGGTTGCTGGAGCTGCTGAAGCGCTTGTGGCACATCTGGTGGGAAGGGACGCTGGTGTCAGCTCTGCCCACTCCGCCGGCTCAGGATCTCTGCTCCCCTCCCCACCTTGGGCATCCCCCACCCCCTACCACCACCTGTAACATGGGCCCAGAAGCTTTCTCCCTGGGACCCACAGGGTCTGGCCCATTGGAGCCAGGCAGATTATTACTCCCTGTGTGACCTTGCAGAGGTGACTTCTCCTGTCTGAGCCTTGTTCTCCTTATTGGTAACATGTGACTATCAACACCTAACCTCGCAGGGATGATGGGCTGAACGAGATAATCACATAGTACCCCTGTGTGTGGGTCTACAGGTTCAGTGGGCGTAATTAACGTTTACTGGGAGCTGCCGCATGCCAGGAGTTAGTCTCACATCCGTCTTCCCCACTAGGGAAGCATGACTAGGTACAAGTATAGCTCCTATATTAAAATGAGAAAGTGAGGCCCAGAGAAGGAGAGTCACTAGCCACAGGTCACACAGCAAGCTGGAGGTAGAGCTGAGATTTGAACCCAAGTAGCCCAGACTTAGAACCTCCATATTTCTTTCATGTCCGCCTCTGTAAAACGGGGAAAGAATTCCTACTATTCTGACTTCCCAAGGGGTGTGGTTAGATTCAGAGAGAGAGACTAACACCAAGCTGGTATTATCCGTAGTGTGTCCTTTCACACAGTGGGCCTTTTACTTCTCCAGCAACCCTGGGAAGGGGTAAGAGGTATTCACTCCCCAGGACCCCCAACTTTTATTATTCTCCTCCCATAGGCCTTCATCTCTATTCCTCACTCCAGGCCCGGGGAGTGACCTCCAGTAGCACATTCTGGCCCTTCCAGGCTGACTGGGGTCATTTTCCCCTCCCTCCACCTCCCTCCCCACCTCCACCCTTGCCTCCAGCCCTGTCTCCACTTGCTCAGGAGGGCTGGGGAACAGAGGCTAGAGGGGCCACCCCTCCAGGGGCCTGGAGCTACTCATCAGCCTGCAGGCGTTCAGGGAAGGGGAAGGGGGTCTCACCAGGCACTCGTGGGGCCGCTCCCCAGTGTGCACCAAGTGGTGCTTCTGCAGGTGGGCAAGCTGGATGAAGCTCTTCTGGCACAGGGCGCATTGGAACGGGCGCTCCCCGCTGTGCACACGCAGATGGACCTGAGCCAGGTGTGGGACAAACGTCACCAACTGCCCAGAACCCTCCCCTCCGGCAGGATCTGGGATCCTGGCCAAATCTCTTCCCACATCTCCATGGGACCCCTATTTAGCATCTGGGGCTCCTCAGTCCCCTTGCTATCTATCACTGCCCTCAGGGCCTCTCTTGCCTTTCCCCAGGACACCATCACTCTTTCTGCTGCCCTGCAGGAGGGGAGGTGACAGTGGTCAGAAGGCTAGGTAAGGGAGTGCTACCCAAAGTGTGGGCCACGGACCAGCAGCATCAGCATCACCTGGGAGCATGTTAAAAATACAGATTCTCATTAACTAACAAACAAACAAACAAACAAACAAACAAATAAATAATGGGGCACCTGGGTGGCTCAGTTGGTTAAGCCTCCAACTGTTTTTAAAAAAAATTTTTAGGGGCACCTGGATGGCTTAGTTGGTAAGCGTCCGACTTCGGCTCAGGTCATGATCTCACGGTTCGTGGGTTTGAGCCCCACATCGGGCTCTGTGCTGACAGCCAGCTCAGAGCCTGGAGCCTGTTTCAGATTCTGTGTCTCCCTCTCTCTCTCTGACCCACCCCTGTTCACGCTGTCTCTCTCTGTCTCTCAGAAATAAAACAATAAAAATTTTTAAAATATTTTTTAATGTTTTTTTTAAGTTTTATTTATTTTTGAGAGACAGAGAGAGACTGAGCATGAGTGGGGGAAGGATAGAGGGAGACAGAGACACAGAATCTGAAGCAGGCTCCAGGCTCTGTCTGAGCTGTCAGCCTGGAACCCGAAAGGGGGGCTCGAACTCACGAACCATGAGATCATGACCCGAGCCAAAGTCAGATGCTTAACCGACTGAGCTCCCCAGGTACCCCCTTAACGTTTATTTTTGAGAGACAGACAGAGCACAAGTGGGGGAGGGGCAGAGGGGAGACACAGAGTTCGAAGCAGGCTCCAAGCTCTGAGCTGTCGGCACAGAGCCCAATGCGGGGCTCAAACTCACGAACCGTGAGATCATGACCTGAGCCGAAGCCAGATGTTTAACCAACTGAGCCACTCAGGGGCCCCAAGCTTCTGACTCTTGATCTTTACTTAGGTAATGATCTCGTGGTTCATGAGATGGAGCCCCATGGCAGGCTCTGTGCTGACAGCTCAGAGCCTGGAGCCTGCTTCGGATTCTGTGTCTCCCTCTCTCTCTGCCCCTTCCCTGCTCACACTTTGTGTCTCTCTTTCTTAAAAATAAACATTTTTTTTTAATATTTTTTATTTATTTCTAGGAGAGAGAGAGAGAGAGAGAGAGAGAGAGACAGCGTGAGCAGGGGAGGGTCAGAGAGAGAGGGAGATACAGAATCTGAAACAGGCTCCCGGCTCTGAGCTGGCTGTCAGCACAGAGCCCGACGCGGGGCTTGAACCCACGAATCGTGAGATCATGACCTGAGCCAAAGTCAGAGGCTTAACCGACTGAGCCATGCAGGTGCCCCAAAAATATATAAACATTAAAAAAAATTTTTTTAAATGTTTTATTTATTTCTAGGAGAGAGAGAGAGACAGCGTGAGCAGGGGAGGGTCAGAGAGAGAGGGAGTCACAGACTGAAACAGGCTCCAGGCTCTGAGCCGGCAGTCAGCACAGAGCCCGACGCGGGGCTCGAACCCACGAACCGCGAGATCATGACCTAAGTGAAAGTCAGACGCTTAACCGACTAAGCCACCCAGGCACCCCTAAAAAAATTTTTTTAATGCAGATTCTCAGGCCCTGCCCAGACCAGCTGACTGAAAAAAATCTCTGAGGCTGGGACCTAGGAATCCGCCTGTTTCCTAGCTCTCCAGGTGGTTTGAGGCTCATTAAAGTTTAAGCGCCCATACCCTTCCGGACCCGGAGGTGTCCCTCCTCAAAAACCATAACTTTTCCTCAACCTCAGTGTTGCCAGTGGGTGCATAGATCCCCATCCCTGCTGACACATAGAAATGTGCCCCTGGGGCCCCTCTGGGCCATGTGGATGATGGCACCAAAAGCACCGTGCTGCTTTATGGGGTCCTAAGTGAAATAGGCTGGTTGTCAGGTGGGTGGGGCCTGGACTCACTAAAATCTACCTCCCCTCCACCCCACCCACCCCGACCCTCCAGACCTTCAAACAAATAAACAAGAGGAGGCTTAACTGGGGATCCAGAAAGGGCTTTGCGCCAGATGTTGAGAGGCTAACATAAAGGTCTAACTTCACCACTAACTCGAAGTAACTTTGGGCAAACCCTTCCCTCAGTTTCCCCATGTTGGACTGAAGTGGATGCTCTCACAGTCTGTCTCTTGGGGCGGAGAGGACTTTTGGCAGCCATCTTGTCCTGCATCTCCTCTCTGCAAACAGGACACTGAGGGGCCAAATGAAGCATCCCAGGTCACGGCCTAGAGGCTGCCCAGGAGTCGCTCTGGCTTTAAGGCCCTTGATTCTGGAAGCAGGATGGCGCGGGGTCATTGCAGGGTGCTGAGGGGAGCGGCGGAGCCCGAGGCGCAGGTACCTTGAGATTGGAGAGCTGCCCGAAGTTCTTGCCGCACACGTTGCACTCGTACAGGGTTTTGCCATTCTCTTTCTTCAGGGGGTAAGGCAGCGCCGCGGTGCCTGTCCGGGAGCCCAGTGGGGCCCGCCTTGCGGGAGCCACCCTACCAGCGCTCTTTCGCCCTGAGGAGTAGGTCCTGGCGGCTCCAGGGCCTGGATTCCAGGCCTGGAAAGGTTGGGTGTGGCCAGAGGCTTGGGAGGCCCCCGGGTGAGGGTACAGGGTCTCCCTCTGGGCCATGGGGTGCCCAGGCTCGTTGACACTTACCAGCAAGTTGGGCATGGCCATGCTGGGGAGGGAGGGATCTGGGAGCCGCCTGCCGAGGCGGGGGCATCGGACAGGAGGTAGGGCCCCATAGGTGAGCAGGTAAGGCGGAGGCAGGAGAAGCGGATGCGGGTATGGGTACGCAGGACAGAAGGGGTGGAGGCAGAATGGGAGCTCTTTGGAGATGGGAGTGAGAAGCAGGCAGGACAGACTGGAGCAGAAAGTTAAAGGGCTGCGGCGCCCTCTGTCCTGCCAGGTAGGTGGGCAAGAGCTGCTGCGGTCAGAGAAGGATGGGCAGGGGGTGCCCTCGCCAGCTCTTTCCCGCTGGCTTCCCCTCTGGTCCCTGCTCGCAGGGTGCTTGGCCGTGGGTTTCTCGCCATCAGTGGAGGCAGCATGCAGCCCTGGCGGCTGGAGCTCTGAGCAGGAAAAGGAAGACTGTGGTCAGGGCCCCACAGCCTGGGGAAAGCTCTGCTTCCCATCTAAGCTGCCCCGCTCAGGCTGGGAAAGCACTGTAGCCTTGCAAGCCTGTTGGGTGACTTGGGCAGGTGTTTCCCCTCTCTGGGCCTTCCTGGTCTGCACTTGGACTTGTCGACAAAACGGGCTAGTATTTCTGCCGTGCTCAACAATTTTAGGGAAAGAAGACAATTCAAGGAGCCTATTAGAGGGGGCGTCTGGGTGGTTCAGTCGGTTGAGCGTCAGACTTCGGCTCAGGTCATGATCTCAGTTCGTGGGTTCGTGCCCCACGTCCTTCTGTGCTGACAGCTCAGAGCCTGGAACCTGCTTCGGATTGTGTGTCTCCCTCTCTCTCTGCCCCTCCCCCACTCACGCTCTGTTTCTGTCTCAAAAAGAAATAAACATAAAAATAAAAAAAAAAACTTTATTAGACACCCAAGTGGAGAAGCCAAGTAGGTAGTTGGATGAATTGATCTGGATTTGTTTGTTTGATTGCTTGTTTATCTGTTTGGTTTGGAGTTTATAAAGGAGAGGTCCAAGCTGAAGACATAAATCTGGGTGCCGGGGCCCCGACGAGACTACATAAGGATGACTCCTGATCTGCAGTGTCCAAAATGGTAGCCACTTGACACACGTGATGACATTCAAATTAATTAAAATAAGGGCAACAAAAATTCAGTTCTTCATTCACACAAGCCACGTTTCAAAAACTCAGCAGGTATGGTAGTAAACAGCCCAAGTATGGATCATTTCCCTCTTGCAGGAAGTTCTGCCAAACAGTGCTACCCTCCATAAAGTGAACAAGAGAGGTGGGAAAGAAGAGGAGAGGTGACACTAATGGGTGGGGGAGGGGAGGGAAGAAGCCTCTGGACTGAGTTATGGAGCATGGGGATATTTAGGAGGCAGTCAGAGAAGAGCTAGGAAGAGAGACTGAGATGCAACAGCCAGGGACATGAGAGATAAGTTAGGAGGGATAGAAGGTGAAATACTGAAAAGGAAAAATGTCACAGAGTAGATTGTCCACTTGGATCCTCATTTATTCACTCAGCCAACTTCACTGAACTGTTTCACTCTGTGCTCTGTGCTGGGGAAATAAGGGACAGGGCAGTATAGTCCCTGCCCTCCAGGAGGTCACAGTTATGAGACGAAACAGTGCATTACAATGCAACAAATCTGGAACAGAGGTATAGTGACATCCTACTCCCATGGAAGAAGAAACTGGCTTCGGTGATGTGCCCAAGGTCACAGAGCCAGAAAGGGCAGAACCAGGACTCCATCCTCAGCTCTGTCTCCCAATCAGTGCTCCTATCTTATAATAAACACTCCTTTAGCTCAAACATTCTAGGCAGACAGAGCGCCATCCTCAATCCCAGGACTTGGGCTACCCCTACTCCACCTCCTCGGGCTCCTCCCCGCCCCAGGCTAGGACTCCAGGCCAAAATGTGGAAGTAAAGCGTGCCTGAGGCTCCGTCCTCACCAATGACACTGGGTCCCCTCCCTTTCCTGGTCTGAAACCTAAGAGTCCTCTCTCACCTCCTGTCTCCATCAGGGTGCAGCCCTCTGCCCTGGCTTACTTGTGCTCAAGGTGTCGTTTCTGAGACCTTCCAGGGCCATGCCCCGCGGTGCTGGCTGCAGAGCACACAGGTATATGTCCAGGCCCTGGGGACAGGTCAGCAAGGCAGAGCTGGCTGATGCCAGCGGCAAGGGGCACAGCCAGCTGGCACACGATGATTCATGGGCATCCACAGTGTCAGAAAGTGGCCTGCAAGCTGAGAAGACCTGGCAGAAAGGGGGTCAGGGGTCAGGGGCCTGGGGGTGGGGGCCTGGGACACCTGTGTTCCCAGGATGGTCCCAGCTCTAGTTTGGTTTCCAAAAGAGGAGAAGCTAAGACCCACCCTCTACCATGTCTATCGCTCAGATGGCTTCCCCATCCCTCATTTGAAGATTTCCCCAGAGACTTTCGTACCCACCCCACTACTGCCCTCCTCCTGCCCTCTAGAACCACCCCGCCGAGCCCTGTTCTCTCTCCCACACTTCCTTCTGAGCCCCTTGGCCTCACTGTGTCTCGGACCATCTACTGTGTCTTGAATGGAGCCTAGATGAACTTGAAGAAAATCCTCATCAAAGACTGTAAACCCCAGAAGATGGCCCTGAGCTCCCCTCCCCATAAGGCCCAGGCCTTGGTCATACAGCCAAGCCAAGACTACAGGCGCTATCCCCTCTCACGCCCCACAGGAAAGATCTGGCCCCTAGGGCATGGGAGAGGGTAATTGGTGCCCCAAGAGCACATCCCTGTGATGTACTGGGTGAAGTAGGAGTGCTCAGAACCCGGAGGCAGGGGGAATCTGGTCCCTTCAGATTCCCCCCGCCCCTTCATCCTAACATCCTCTCCCTTTGTAAGCTTGCTGACCTCAAAGATTGGGCTGGGACCCCTCCTTACCTGGTTGCCTTGGCAGAGCTGGAAGTCCAGGCTGGAGGACAGGGAGCTCCCTGTCCTCCCCAGAGGCTGTGTCTTGTGGCAACAACCCGATTCCGGAGCAGACTCGCCCTTCATGCCCCTACTACCTGATGGGAAGACAGGTCAGTCACGGGTGAGCTCCTCCACACAGGAGCCCGGCTTCTCAAGCTGGCCTTTCGACTACACCACCGTGTGACTTTGAGCCAGTCACTGCCCCCTCCTGGCCTCAGTTTCCCCGCAAAACACGAGGGTTGGACAGGCTGATGTCTAAGGACTCGGTACTGACATTTAGAATCCAACGATGCACTCTTGGTAGGTGCAGGAAGAAGATTAAATGGAGACGATCGGAGGTGAGGAGCTTTTCTGGGCGGCAGAGGACAGTCTGAGAGAGCAGGTTAAGAGTCCCCTGGGTCCCCTGACCGGCCGACAGGAAGATGCTCTGACTGCTCAGCTGTCTGTTTCTCTGCCTTTCACCGAAGGCCACAGAGCACAGGGACCACTCGAGTGCCCCAGGGTTCATTGCTCTTCTCCTCCGTCACCACGCCTCCCTCCTCCTCAGTGCCCCTTGGACCCTAGCACGTTCACTAGAGCGTCTTCCAAAGCACAGCCTCCTTTTCCTCTTCCCCGACTCCTCCCAACCTTGCCCAACAGAGGCTCTTCACCTACCTGCGTGACGCTCTTCACCCACTTCTGCAGAAGTTCCCTCTGAAGGGTGCAGGGAGGTGGGCAGGCGGGCAGCCGCTGCCTGTGGTTGAGGCCCCAGTGAGCTTGAGGGATGACAGGAAGGTGCTTCATTTGAAGTTGCCACAAGTAGGAAGAAGAAGGGAGGCAGGCAGGCGGGGGCCCTGAGAGACCCGATGACGGGACCCACCCACCAGCCTTTACCTACCTGTGGTAACTCTGCAGGATGATGTGCTGATCTGGGAACACTACAGACAACTATTCGAAAGTCAGGGTGTGGAGGTGGGGCAGCTGGGGTGGGGCTATGTCTGGTTCTCAGAGAACTCAGGCGGCTGAGGCCAAAAGCAACGCTCAAGGGCTGGAGCTGGGGTCCTTCTGGAGACAGCGGCCCGGCCGTCAGAGCCGGGCAGTGACGATGACGGGGAGGACAATGATGGTGGCGCAGGGTCAGGGACAGTTACAGACACAGACGAGAGCAGGCAACACAGAAGGATACGGGGTGGAGCAGAGAAGAGAAGGAATCTGATCTCGCAGAGCAGAGGCCCCGAAGGCAGCAAATACACCCTCCTCTCTCTTGCCCCATCTCTGATCTACAAATCTTGAGAAATCCTTTCTCTCATCCCGATATTGCGCTGAGGCCCCCAACAGGGGTAATTGATGATTCAAGGACGTAGCAAAATGTGTGTAAGGAATGACTAGATATCAAAAGGAAAATTTCCATTGTCTAGGAAGCAATTTTTTAGGCCAGGCAATTTCATGATTTCTGGGAGCAAGAAAAGGCACATCATTTCTGGAGACTCAAATTCTGCCCTGTTGGTGTGTCTATAATCACACAATGTCTGGCCCTGTGTGACACAAGTCCAACCAGTCATCAAACTCCACCCAGCCCTCCCATCGAGGTGGCCTGGAGCACAGAGGGACATCCTGGACTCTCCACCCTGGGCAGGGGCATGTTACTGGTGTTTCTCTGCCAGCCCAGCCCCTGGCTGCCTGGCTGGTGACAACCTCTACCATGGCCTCCATCACTTCCTTTCAGAGTTATTTGCCCACATACCTGACCCTTATGTGCCTGTGAGTTTCTCCAGCACAGGGACCAGGGACCACTGTCTACTCATTTTTATTTCTGGTGCAGACATCTGTTGGGTTTCTTGGATGCTCAGAATGTGGAACCTCCCCCCACCATGCGTCTGGAGGGAGAAAGAACGCACTTCCCACTATAAAAGCCAAGATGGCCACACATTTGGTTCCGACCTCCCTGTCCCAGCATGTGATGCAGGCACATGACATGGACTGGACTCACTGGATGTGCTCCTCCAGACTGGATCGGAAACCAGTGACCCTAAAGTGTCAGGTCAGTGGAGACTCCAGTCTGCACATCATGCCATGTCAGCTTCCAGAGCAACAGAGGAAAGAAGGGGGTTCATAGGACATTGCAGAATCCTCTCTGGTCCTGGAGGGTCCCAGCTTCTCCTGATCCAGCGCATTCTCCAAGTCTGGCTCTACAGCCTTTCCAGACATTCTGTGAGCTTCCCCATATCTTTTTAATGAATTGCTTTTCTTAAATCCTCCTGAAATGGTTTCTATAGCTTAACCCAAGAATCCTGCATACTATATGCCCAGAACAGAAGATGAAGCATAGCATTCAGGCTGGAATAGTCAAGGATCTGAGTAGTTATTTACCTGTACAAAGAGCTTCCTGCCTTTCTCAGCCGCCCTCTCAGTACCCTTCAGATTAGTGAAGGAGCTCCTCCCTGGTGCCGCTTGTGGTCTCGATCCCCCCAAACTCCATGCCCCCAAAGCTAGAGCCCTCCCAGCCTCCAAGGCCACAAGTCTGCCTTCCCTACAGCCTTGTTGGAATCACAGAGGAGTCAGGGCCTGGCCAGGCACCCAGAGAAAACTCCAGTCTCATCTCCGAAAAGGAGTCAAATACATCTTTGGCTTCCATCTTCCACCTGCCAACTCCACCCCATCCTGACTTCACACTCTGCTCCCAACTCTCAGCACAGTCTGTAAACCTCTTGATCAGGAACAAAGAGGGAAGTAGACTTGGAGATTTCTGGCTGTCCAGTCCCTGAAAGTCCTGGCTAGGAATGTCCTGGGAGGTGGGCTGAGGACATAGGCCCTCAAGTTCCCACCCAAAACAGCCCCTACCTGCCAACACCTTCTTTGTTCTCATCTCCTGGGCCCTGCGAGGTCTTCTGCCCTGTCAGCCTCCAAGTCCATCCTGATGTCATTTGCCTAACTGTGGTGTCACCATGTTTCTCATCTCTGGGGGGGTAGCACAGGCATAGGACCCCAGCCCCTTAGCCAGGGAATCTGCGTAGATACCTGGCCCCAGGTGAGAGACCCAGGCCAAGGCAAGTCCTCAGTGACCACAGGGGGGCTTGGGAAGTGCCTGTGGAGGGAGACAGGATTCAGAGCCTTTGGAGGTCAATGGGAGACATCAGAAAGGCCTTTGACAAGAGCTGGAAGGCTGGACAGGGGTCCTCAGGCTCTTGGCTCATGGACACCTACTTTCTTCTTCTTTCTGTTAATTACAAAATAAAACATACCAGTGGTAAACATTTTAAACAGCAGAGAATAAAAAGACAAAAAAAAAAAAAAAGAAAGGAAGCTCCCCTTCTTCACAATTTCCCAGGGACCATTGTGAATTTTTTGGTGTTTATCCCCCTGACATTTATGTATGAACCTACAAAAGAGTAAGTGAACTTTTTAACTTTGTTTTTATGCAACACAGATTACATGATACATATACTGTCCCTCAGCTCCTTCTATCCCACAGTCTACTGTGGCCGTCATTCCAGAGTAAACACGTTTGCCTCCTGCTTTTTCCTGATTGTATAGTGTTCCGTGGCAGGGATGGACAAACTGGGTGGCACTCCTGTATTGTGAACTCCCATTATTCTCTGTTCCACACAAGACTGGAAAAGACCTCCATGTGGAAGTAATATGCAGAGTGATTAGGAATATTAGCTCTGCTGGACTTAATCCCAGTTCTGGGCCCTTATAACTTAACCTCTCTGTGCCTCCTTTCCTCATCTGTCAAATGAGGATATTAATAGTACTTGTTTCAGTGTTCTTTTGAAAATTCCTCAAGTTGATTCACATAAAGCTCTTAGAGCAGTGCCTGGCCCAAAGCAAGCACTTGACAAATGTGGATTAATGTTAACATTGTATATCAGTCTTTGCCTAGTTAGGCAAGTATCTGCAAGTCAGCTTCCTAAGAGTGTTACGATTGTGATGAATGTTCCTGGCTCATTTTGGACAGACCAGAATTTGAGCAGCACACTCGGAAAGATTAACTACATTCTGTTTTATTTCTTTATTCATTAGCTCCTAGTTGGAGACCATTGGGCTCACCCAACGCTGTCCTGCCCCCACGCCAGTCCACACACCACAATAATTATAGCTTTTGGCGTTTGGGTGCTCACCATGTGCCAGGAACCCTGCAAAGCACCTTGACATGTTTTATTTAACTCGGTCAGCACAATGACCCTCCAAGATGGGTGCTATTATTCCTGTTTTACAGGCAAGAAAACTGAAACTGAGAGAAAGAAAGTGACTAGCTTAAGATCACATGACCCAAGTTGGGACTGCAATGTCCCAGAGAGGAAGGAGAGCTCAGGGAAGAACTACTGGATGGGTTGGGGCACCTGGGTGGCTTAGTCGGTTACGCGTCCGACTTTCGCTTAGGTCATGATCTCGCGGTTCATGGGTTCGAGCCCCACGTCGGGCTCTGTGCTGACTGCCAGCTCAGAGCCTGGAGCCGAGTCTGTCACTCCTCTCTCTCTGACTCTCCCCTGCTCACGTTGTCTCTCTCTCTCTCTCTCTCTCTCTCCTAGAAATAAATAAAACATTAAAAAAAAAAAAAAGAACTACTGGATGGGCAGAGGTAAAAAGAGTCACAAACATGGAACAGTAGAGTCTGGATTCCCTTTAGGACTATGAGAACTCTGTCTTAGGCACTGGACCAGTTGCTGGGACTATAGCCCATAGGAATATGACCTAGACCTTGGAAATTCACAGTTCAGTTATCAGAAGGCTTGCTGGATGCTGCTGAAATAGAAATTGGGATGCAACTCTCAGGACTTATTATTATTAGAATAGGCACCCTCTACTTTGGGAAGCAAAGCACAGCCAGGGGTGTCGGACTGGCTTGTGCAGTAAGAAGGGGACACAATGGAACCACAAGCAAAAACTCTACTTCCTCTTTGAAAACCTCAAAAGCTTCTCCAGTCCATCACCATGGCCACCTCCAAACATTTGTCCAGTCAGCTGAGCTCTTGGCTGGGGCAGTGCATGGGTCCTGGATCTGTTGCATTGATAATTTGAAGGACACCAGGTAAGGAATCCAGGTCAGGAGGAGATCTGGGACCATCACTGGTTCAGAGGGTTAAGCAGCTGTGTGGGATGTGACTCTGAGAACAGAGTTAGGGGTGGGGAGCTCCATGCTCTCACCTCACTCTGCTCTGTGGTTGACACCTCCCTCCCCCTGCCTGACACCCACTTATCTCATCTCCCTGGACAGTCTGTCAGAGGCAATGAGTTCATTTTGGCTTCACACCCTAGGGCGGGGAGATCCTGAGATAGGGTGCAGCTTTCACATCTGCAGAAGGGGCCTCAAACTCTTGCACCTTCTCCTGCATCTACCTGTGACCTTCCAGTCCTGAGGATAAAGTTAAGAGATGTCTTCAAACGACATCTGAATCATCCTACCCATCCTCTCATCTCACCCATTCCAAGCAGAAAGGAGCCAAAAAAAGATCAAATCCAGTAGGATTTGAATTCAAATCCAGTAGGACTGATATACTCTTAACTGCTATGCAACGCTACCTAGCATGCACATGGATGTCCTTTGCACTTTTGTATGAAATGGACCAATTAAAGTCTACCTGTATGTCCACTATTAGAGGAATGCTGCATAATATGTGCATCCCTGTGACAAAATACTGTGCAGTCAGGAAAAAGCAAAGAGTACATTTACTGAGTGATTCCTATATGCTACACCTCTTTATAATCATCTCTAATCTTCTTCAAATGCTTCCAAGGTAAAAAAAAAAAAAATCTTCC